GCGTCAGCGCTGACGCTCCGCGGGGACGCGCTGCCTTCTTCAGTTAATAAATGTGTTTTAAATAGGCAATTATATAAGAAATTTCCTGCTAACAAATGATGAGAAGAGCTACAGGCTTGTGTTATTGTTCGTAACTCCTCATTGTGCCCAGATGGAGGCCATGGAGGTCGACTTCCCGGTGCAGCTGCGGGGAGGAGGCGTGGAACAGCCGGAGCATGTTGCTACAGCTGCTGGTCCGGCTGAGGAAGCTGCTGCACCCATACACGTCTCAGACTCCGGCAGCAGCACGGAGGTGGACGAGGATGAAGAGGCTGACCGGGATGAAGGACGAGCAGCAGCTCGGACTCTTCTCAGGCTCCCTGCCACCTGGGCGTTCAGTCAGAGGGTGGCAGGCGGAGCTGCAGCTGCACCCTCTGGGGCTCCGGGGACACCGATGAGAAGACGACTCAGGTGAATAATCTTTGCTCCGGGTTAGGTAGGAGCTGGGAGTCCATCAACCATGCTTCCTAGCCTGTGTTTGTGTTGCAGACAGGGTCTCAGGGTGCACTACCCCAGCCAGACCGCAGCACCTTCCAGAACTTTCCCAGACTTCCTGCTGCGGGCCCCCGCGGCCAGCGTCTCTCAGCCCCAGTCTGGCAGCACCACAGAGGCCAGCGAGTCCGAGGATGAGGAGGAAGGCGCCGCCGCTGCTGCTGCAGAGCCCAGTGCGCCTGCACCACCCACTGCCCCCACCCAGCCACAGGAAACACAGCGTGGGTTTGAAACCAGACCTTTGTTAAATGATCTGTAGTGGTGATTTTTTTAAATTTCCCTCATCGTAGTCTGGTGCTTGTTTCTGGAACAGATTCTGGCTCAGCTGTTCAAAGCGACAAGACTGAAGCTCAAAGACAGGACTCCCAGGTGAGCCTGCTGTCTGTGCAGTGAACACAGCTGAACATTTAACGCCTGGAGCCGGTTTGTGTTTATTTAGCTTCAGTTGACTGTCCCTGTGCCCACCTTCAGCCTGCTCCTACTCCGGTCCAGTTGCCTCACGGTGAGGACACTGAGGGGGACACCTGCACCATTTGTCTGGAGGTGTGGACGACAGCAGGCGAACACAGACTCTCCGCTCTGCGCTGCGGACACCTGTTTGGTTACGCCTGCATCCGCCAATGGCTCAAAACCCAAGGCTCAGCTGCTAGGTGTCCACAGGTGAGCAATAGGGCTGTGTGTTGGCAAGAATTTGGCGATATAATATATATCATGACAGAGGGGTCACAATACGATATATCCTGATATACAGTGGTTTGCAAAAGTATTCATACCCCTTGAACTTTTCCATATTTTGTCACATTACAACCACAAACATAAATATATTTCACTGGAATTTAATGTGAAAGACAAACACCTCTCCTTGGGCTGCTACCTTATCGTGGTGGAGGGGTTTGAGTGTCCCAATGATCCTAGGAGCTATGC